GCCCTGCGCGCTCCCCGGCTCCAGCCCTGGCCTCCAGCGGGTGGAGTGGGGGGTCCTCTGCGCCTTTCCTCCCGCCCCACGGCCTCCCATCCCCGGCTTTTTCAGTCCTCCCCGCCCCAGCGAGGGGCTCGAGCCCCCCAGGCCGAGCCCACCCAGGCCTCGCAGGGCGCACGCAGCTGTCACGGCTAGAAGCGGGTGCCCGTTGCCTACCTCGGTGCCCAGAGACCCAAGCGCGGGGCTGGTGCAGCAGTGCGCTCCCCTCGGCGGGCTCCGCGCGGCGCCCAGGGTGGCGGCCCATGGCAGCGCCAGCGTTTTTTTCCCTCGGCTCTGGGGCTTTCAGGGCTGGGAGCCGCTCGGACACTCCCCTTTCAGGCTCCTCCCCCTCCCTCCCTCCGCGCCCCTCCGCGCCCCTCCGCGCTGATGTCACGCCGCCGCCGCAGCCAATGGAGCTTGGGTACAGCAGCCCGGCCGCTCCGGCCTCTCCAGTTCAAACCCGAGATCTTGGGACTTTCGGCGCTCCATGTGGGGAGGCCCCGGCCGGGAAGTCTGCAGGGCCCAGCCGGCGGGGCTCCGGGGTGCCAGTCTCGCTGCGCTCCGGCCCCGAGTCCCCATCTGGGGTCCTCAGGAGTCATGGGTGCGTCTCCCATCCGTGGCTGGGCCCCGGCCAGTTGCGAGGCCCGCCCAGCGCTCTTCCTAATTCCAAGCAGAGAGCAGAAACCAACGATCGTCGACCCATTTCCCGCTCCCTCCCGGAGCCGCTGATCGCCTCCTGGCCTAGTACCCACGGGAGATCGGAGCGGGGCGGGGGTGTGGGGGTGGTTGCAGGGCGGCGCCAGGCTCGTGGATTCCATCCCAGACTCTTACAGGAAACGAGAGAGGCGGGGAGGATCGGCTCCGAGGCAGGCCCGGGACTGCTTGTAAGAAGGGTTTCGGCAGGGGTGGCCTGTTTTTGATCATCCTGCTTTCCCAAGTCTGTGCTGCCTCCCAAGTATCCCCGAGGCTAAATTTAACTCCTGAATTCCAGGGTCTGAATCTATGAGAAGTAGGTCTTGGATGCTACAGTTTCAGAGCAGCGCCCGTTTGTAGCTTAACATTTCCAAAGTCTTAAAGGCCAGCGGCGAAATATTCAAGGAACGGGGAAGCGGACAACGCAACAAAGTGAAAGCCGCTTTGCTGCTGGTCTCGAGCAGCTCTCCCACTAGGGTTTTTAAGGAAGGTGTTGGGGGGGGGGGCGCCAGCCTCTCTCTTCCCCAAGGGGCTTCTGGATCCTACCTCTTTAGCTTTCTCTCATCCCCACTCCTCTGTCCGTCTGTGCTCACTTCTTGAGAAACCTGTCCCGAAGATCAAGTGCTGTGGCGGCTCCGTCTTGCCAGTGAAAATCAAACCCCAAACCAGACGCTCAGGCTAGAAGGTGGGAGTTGAGAGAAACTTCAGTCAGACCCACGTGGGTTCAAACCTCCTATGGGTTATCTCCTTATCTGTCCAAACAGCAGGGGACCTGACTGCCCTGCTAGCCTCATCTGGACGTGGTGACAGAGAAATGAGGCATTAGGAGAGAAAGGACTTTGACAAGTACAAAGCACCAGGAAAATGGAGTCCATGGTTATCATTACGACCTGGGACTCAAAGTCAAAGGCTAGCCACTCCTGGTGTCTTCAAAAGAAGTAGGGGCTGCAGCTGCAACGGAGCGCTCAGGGAGCCCTGTTGGAAGGAGGCTGAGAGGCACATCTGGCTTGGAATCGTAGCTCCTCCATTTACTAGCTGGACAAGTTACACAGGGCTTCCCATTTATAAAATGGCAACAGCAACCCCTGCTTCTGGGTTGGGGCAAGTATTAAATGAGATCATGTACAGAAGGCGGCTGGTGCTTGGCCGGGCACATGCAGACACCCAGTGAGACTCTTTCTGCTGGTGCTTTCCCCCACATTCCTCCCAGCTGGAAACCCTCCCCAGGGCCCTCTCCTCCAGAAGATGCAAACTAAATCTTATCTGTCCCGGAGGCACCTCTTCTTCCCCACATTCTCTTTCCTTCCATTTTTAGCGAATTTGTCTTTGGGGTCTTGTTGTTAGCTGCTGTCCAGTAGCCCCCTTCCCCGCCGACTCACAGAATGAAACACTGCCCAGTCTTGCACCATCCCCATGATCAGTTGCGGATCAGACCGTTGTGATCCGATGGTTGTTTTTTCGGAAGTAGATGTCCAGGCCTTTGTTCCTACTCCATCTTGGTCTGGAAGCTCAGCTGAAACCAGTTCGGCATTATAACAACACACAAGCCTCCGCTGACAGATGGGTGGTAGCTGGGCATGAGGTGCCTTGGCTGGGATTGAACCCAGGTCCTCTGCATGGTAAGCAGAAATTCTATCAGAACCACCACTGCCCCCTTTTAGGGCTTTTTGGTGTTAGTCGATTCCGACTCATGTCAACCCCATGTGTGCAGGGTAGCGCTGCTCCATAGCGTTTTCAAGGCTCTGACCTTTTGGAAACAGATCACCAAGCTTATCTTCGGAGACACAACCGGGTGGGTTCAAACCGCCAGCCTTTCAGCTAGTAGTCAAACACTTAACCATTTGCACCACCCAGGGACTTCTCCTTTGGGGGCTAGCTGTTAACAAGTTGCTCTCCTTTTCACAGGTGTCTTGGGCTGGGCCTTCCCAATTAGATTATGTACCAATTAAGTGTGCCTCCAGGACAAAGTCTGGTCCCTTTGTAAATCTTCCCAACCTTAACCCAAATTTTAAGCTTATTGCACAAACATTTAACATACGTGGAGATTTGCCTTTGGGGCCAATTATGAATAAAGCCCAATCCCTACCTTCTGCACCCACAGTGGACCCAGATTGCCCAGGCAAGGAGCTCAGCAGGTGATTCTTGACTCTGTTCCTGTCCCTGTGGATAGCACCTTGGGGGAGGCTTGATTAAAAGAAAGCGTAAACTTTTCTGATGCTCAGAACCCCAGACCCACGAGTTTCTTGTAACTTTTGCCTCCTAAATATCCGCAAAGGCTAAGTTTTCTCCAATCTTTTAGGCCTAAAGCTGTCCACTGATAATCAGAGGAAATTACCAAAATGAAAATTTTAGACTTGAATAGCTACTTGAATTTTTTGGCAAGCTCAAAGCCCCTGACTTTCAGGAGGGATTTAAGGTCTTAACTGCACCTTTGGTCTAACTTGGTCTATAAGCCTTTAGGCCTGGGCGTGTGTCTGGGCCTGCTGGGAGCTGCTGGGGACTGCAGATGGGATTTGGGCTTTGGGATCCTTGCCCCTCCGTAATACACCCGCTCCCGCCCCTATGCGCGTGCGCACACACACACACCCACCCACCTCCCAGCTTCGCTAACATTGTGTTCTGGGCATTTTAGCGCACACTATTCAGTGCACATAATTTGGGCCCAGCCCTAAGAGGGCCAGTGAGGTTATTCCCATTTCCTTATAGAGAAGTTGGAGGCCGTCTTAGTCTAGTGAGTGCTTGCCATAACCTGCAACTCAGAGCCGGTCACTTACCTTTCTGAAATTAGCTGACCTCCAAGGCCCCTTCCCACGTGAACACTCTGACTTCTATCCTGAGTCTCATGCCCTGTCTTCCCCTGCTGAGGTTAGATGGATGATCGTGGACACCCCGGGGTGTCATCACAGCACCGCCAGGGACTGAGCCCTGCTGTCATCACACAGTTTAGGGGTGGAGCCATGGCCACTTGCATCAGGAAACATCACCTGAGGATGCTGGCATGGGCCTGCTGGGCAGAGGCTCTTCTCCTCCTGGTCGCCAGTTGCTGGGAACCACCTGGAGCCCTTTCACAGGGCTGGGACAGCCTCTGGTTAGGCACTTGACTACTAGCCAAAAGGTTGCTTGTTCAAACCCACCCAGAGGCACTTCAGAAGACAGGCCTGGTGATCTGCTTCCGAAAGGTCACAGCCTTGAAAACTCTATGGAGCAGAGTTCTACTCTGCACACATGGGGTCTCCATGAGTCAGAATCAACTCATGGGCAATTAACAACAACAATGACAACAGCCTACGAACATCCTCATGATACCAAGCTGCTGGCAGAGCACCTGGTTAGCACACACCAGGGCCCTGGGGTAGCCAGTGCACATTCAGGGAGTCAAACAATAGGTCATCCCTGTGGGCTCCTTGGGGACAGTATGGTGTCTGATTCATAAATCTCCAGTATGGCTGGCACATAGTATGTTGGCCAAATGAATGAATGAGTAGAGTCCTGAGTCCTGCTTTCTGCCCTGAACTGTGGCTTAGTGACCCTCAGTGAGTTCTGCTAGCCATCTACAGGCTCCTATCTTCTCCCTGAGTGACAGCTCCTGAGACCTTGCAGCATAAGTGGGCTCAGAGGAGGGAGGCACAGGTGAGGTGCTGTGTCTGAGAGGACCCTTGGCCAGGAGAGATGCTGGTCACCAGCCCTTGCTCCGGGCTGGGCACTTACTGGGGGCGGGAGGTGGCAGTAGTGATGATCTGAGCTTACAGAAGGGATGGACTGGGCCAAGGGTGGTGGCAGAGCAGAGAGGCAGTGGGGTTTTGAAAATGAGTCCAGACATGGGGGTCAGAACATCTAGGTTCTGAGTCACATCTATAAGGAGGGAAGGGTAACAATTCGGATTATATAAGGTTGTCAGAAGGATGGAGGAGATAAAGCTTGTGACCTCGCTTTGTGAACTCTCAGGTCCAGTGTGAGGGACCACGGTTACTCTTACTGTTATTGCTAGGTCAAGCTTTGCTTCGGGGTAAAGTGGTGCCCTCTGTCCCTCTGCCAGGTGAAGGACAACAGTGCAGGCCTCCCCAGATGGCTGCTCAGGAGTCCCGTTGGTCACTGTGTGTTGTGATGCTGTTAACACGCTGCTCCTGACCACTGAGCTGGGACATTTCCAGGAAGGTGGGAGAGGATACCAAATTCTTTGTCCATCCAGGAGGGAAAAGAGTGGGTGAGGAAGACATACCCCGAGTTCTGGGCTCCTGAGAAAATCAGTATTGGCTTCAACTAAAGACATCAACCTGAATCAGGGACCCTGGAAGGAATGTCCCACGAGCTCCCCAGATTTCTGCAGCCCAGAGCTCCGTCCACCAGCGGTCCCTGGGTGTAAAAATGGTGCCATGGGGGTGTCTGGCCTCCTCTAACTTCACAAGGAGGAAGGAGAATCAAGATCAAGAGCCCAAGGCTGATTCCTAGGAGGCAGAGGTCAGACATGCCTCCACCCTCCAACCTTTTTACCAATTCTGACACCAGCCATCCCTCCCACGGCACTTCCTACTTCTCTGCTGGGTTTGATAATTTGTTGCAATGACCACATAG